TATATATATATTATAAATTACGATTTAAAAATTTTGAGGTATATAAACCTTAAAAATCATTCAATATAATAAATATTAAATTTTGTTGCATTCAAATTATTTGAGAATTAAACATGTTAAGTCAAATAAAATTATAATATTTATTATGATGAAATTAAAATATACTATAAAAAGTTAATTAAGAGCCTCTAATATCTAATAAAAAAGTTAATTAAACTCCATTACTTTTCATTCACTCAAAAAATATGAACTGATCAAGTTAAGTCAATATATTCATTGTTCGCAATTACAATTGCTGTGAAAAGTGTTTCAATTAATTATTAATCGGTAAATTATTAAGCTAATGTGTTGCACTAACATTTATGTGGCAATTAAACTATAAATAATATGTTTTTTAAGTTTATATTTTTGCTTAATTAAGCTTAAATTTTAAGGATAACAATTTTAGTTAATTGATTATTATTAAGAATAACTAATAACATTTGGGGTTGCTTTTCTATTTTCATTTCAAAACACTTTTTATTTATATTTTATTTAAAATTTTTACTATTTAAAAAAAAATTAGAGATATTAAAAAAATAATATTCATAATAGCTTTCAAAAAAAATATTGCCAACAATTAGGATTTTTTCCTCTAGTTCTCTAAGGACTTCCCCCTCTTGGTGAGGCCTGTAGCCTTCATGTATGGAGTCTTTTTCGTTTTCCCTCTCTTTACGAATGTTACATCTATGCTCACTAGACCCCCATCACTAAATTGGAAAGGGCTTCTTTTCTCGCAATCTCCCCTTCCAACCGTAATCTTACCTTTATTCCAAGCAACAAGGACAGGGAGGTTTTCCCTAACGAAGAATTTGATGAGGCTCTAAGTAATGGAATCTCGCCATGGTTGATTATGAACTTGAAAGGGATCTTTCTATAGTAACCTTCGTCGTGCTATTGATCAAAACTTTAGAGCTTAAGTGGTATTATTGATGTTGCGCTAGACAAATACAATTGCACATGTCAACCAACTAATATAGTATAATTGAGTACGATAATATGTCCATGATGATACGTTATAATTTTTCAAATTGAAATGTAAGCACTAATTATTAACCCTAATTTTTATTCAAAATAAAATTTCCAAAAAGATAAGTTTTCAAGATTCTATTTGAGATTACTTTTGTTTTCTATTTTTATTTTTTTTAGTTTGTTTTTTTTTATGTTTTCTTATTTAAAAAAAAATGTTTGGTATTATTATAATTTATCTGT